AATGGTGTGCTGTTCTTTGCGGGTTGGGTGGGTGGGAGTGTGTGTGGCGGAAGCACAGCCTAGGGATTTCGGATAGAGGGAGGCTTGAGGCAGGATGACAAATAGTGGTTTGCGAGAAATAAGAGGATCGTAACTCATATGGCAAGCAATAGCGTATGGATAAGTGAGTTTTTTTTTGGCAAAAGGACATGATAAGGGAGGTATGCGTTAGTGTGTGCTGCGCGGGCAGGTACATGGGATATTTGGAATATACAATATATGGTGGGGATCTCAGTGACATTGAGAAGATGAGGAAAAGGAAAGGAAACAAAAAAAAGTGAGGCATACTAACTTTTGCCCTATCTTGCTTCCAGGCCTGTCTGGGCCCTTTCTTCCCACTCCGTCCAACCCGGTTCTTGTGTTGCCAAAGACTCGCACCGTGACACCTGTCAGAGCTGTCAAGAGCATGTCAGCCCTTTTCTATTGGTACGCTGTTTAGCCAGAACCATCAACCGTACCACGTTGTCCTCTTTTTGCGCATATAATCCAGAACGAAGCTTTGGAAAGGGGGGGGGGCAGGATCCGCCGTCCGGATTGCCAAGCACACTGTGTGCATGCAAGTTCCCTATTTACGCGTACCTTTTTTCTTACCCTCCAATCATTCATGGCATATGGGTTTTAGTCAATGGAAGATCTCGCTCCGCGTCAAATCACGGGGGGTTGTCTTGTACACCTCAAAGGTTTCCCAGGTCAATGGGGGCATGTTCGGGCACTACTTTAGCCTGGCATAGTAGATGGGAATCGCTAGGCAGACCATCCGCATCTCCGTTAGCCCAGGAAACGAACATGGTGGATGATTGTAGTGCCAATGACGGTTGTCTATCGTAAGTAGCACTTGTACAAAGAGGGGCGGGGCCAGACCTCATCGTCTCACATGATTCAACCCTCCCTTTTTCCATCATCAAGCGGATGCACTCACACCCGTGACATATTAGGATACCACAGAGATTCTAGATGGCTACCTTCATAAACGGATATGCGGGTTTGATCAGACGAACCCCTGCTGTGCAGATAATATTGTAGTTCGTCCCACCCTGCAGAAAAACGCCACAAAGCTTGAGTTCATCATCACAGTTGTCCTGCAGAGCCCACCCCAGGAGACGGGAGACTCGCCCTCGATTATGGCACATCCCCCGGTGCCCCCACACAATGTGATGTGTTCAAGAGTCTGGTCCTTTGTGACGCCTGTGAGCAGTGGTTCCTGGCGTGACAGCGGGACTAGGTTCCTCCATGTGGCAAGCCGGAGACGATGACCCAGGTACACTCTTGAGCAATACTCAGTGTAAACGCAAGCTAGCCGTACTCACAACTCTAGGAAAGAACAATTGAGAACATGGTCGTGCAAGCGTGATTTAGTGGGGCAGTGTGCTGATTGCGTTCAAAGCATGCGTCTCGCTACGCTGCGCGGGGCTCGTCTCAACGGGCCACCCGACGGGCACGAGGAATGGAGATTTTGACAACCTCGTCGCACGATATGCTGTAGCAGCGATGTCGGCGCGTCGTTCGAGCTCGGGTGCAAAGCCGAGCATATTGTAACATAAGCTTGAGATGCTGTGAGCAGACCCTTTACGCGTACATACTGCCCCGCGGTGCCACGCTCCTACAGGCATCCCAAGCAAGGAGTTCATCGTGATCAACGCAGTCTAGACAGCCAAAATAAATTTGCGATGTTGCAGGCTTCTCAAGAGGCCATGGTGATTGTGCGTTACGTACCAGATAGAGCTCTCCCCTTACGATGCTCCCAAGAGCAAGCAGAAGTAGAAAAGCATGAAAGGTTGCTTCTTTAACGAGGAGCCTATAAGTAGTATGTGTACTTATGTAGTCGTTTTCAGAGATGTCAAACGATTCTCCTCAGTATACGTACCTTTGCTGAATATCTCAATGGCGTTAAAGAAGTTCCTCGGTCTAGGTTCATTGGTGTGAATTAGCAGACGTCAACCAACCTAAAAAAAAAGCCTTGCATAGGGACGTTAATCTTACAGCCAAGAAGATGCACATTCTCGCATCGATAGCGTTGGAGACACCCAATAGTCAGAGATGTGACCTCTTGCATAAAACTGGTGTGCATCCAAGCACGGAGAGTTTGGTGCTTTGTAGAAAGTAGGGCATATTGGCCTCGACAACTCCAGTCATGTGAATCCACCTTAAGAGGTAGTGGTAATAAGACAGCTCCACGAACCGCACGTATGCTTTGGAGGAAGCCCATAGACTTGGCAATGATATTTCTCGTAGACACTAGTACATAACGTCAGCTGTTCCAGATTCGTGCTGGTAAACTATTCGCCCTGTTTTTGTCTAAGACACTGCTTCATTTACCGCTCAACCCACATCTCAGGAAACGCTATCTTGAGTCTGGTCTAATGGCGGTACGATTCGTAAAGATAGAGTGCTCGGACACAAATTTGTCTTACTATTTTTTGGTCCAGATGGCAGCATTGGACTCGAGTTCGATAAGCGTTGAAAATTGCTGCCGGTCAATCGTCCTGCCGTTGGCTATGTTCGTCCCTCAGCTTACAGCCCGTACTTGCATCACAACGGCAACACCCGGGCTGCCCCAGGTTACTTGGGTTTCCTGTCATCCCACATTGACGGCTTCTGTGTAACCGGCGGAAACGGAGAAAGTCTGCTGTACGCATGGCTATCGATTGTGCGTGTGCATATCCTACGTAGTCTGGCACTGTGCGAATGACCCAGTGTTTCTAATGGCATCATGTTAGCAGCCAATAGTATCGGCATTTCAAGGAGCCCTGTGTATGATCTCACGAAGGCGCTGTGCTTTGACCGGAAGGCAGAGTGAGTTGTTCGAATCTCCCACCGCCGGGGGCGCGCAGTGACAGCAGGCTCGGCGGTATGTATCCATGGCACTTCACATGAAGGTACTACTCCTAATAAACTTGGAGAAAAAGATGATCATAGGAGAACTTTTGGGCATGCTTGGTCAATCAGTTGGTACGGCTTGCCACAGGCAAAGCTGCAGCTTGGCCTTTGTCTTCTTTGAGCGGTCTGTACTGAGACATCATCACCGCTCTTCTCTTTGAAGTGGCCCTCCATCAATCTAATTGCATACACAAGTGATTGAGACAAGATGCTTTGTTGGTCGATGTCCGGTGAGGCACAGGTCAAGTGAAAGTTGGAATTTGAAAACTTTGCTTCGCGAGTAAGTGAAATGGCTTGCATCAAAATACGCCATGTCTCAGTATGAGGAGAGACCCAATTCTGGACGGGGAAGGAAACTTTTACTCCCCTGACGGCGATGTATGGTCGATGCGGCAAGCGAGCTCTTTCCTGGGTCATACATCTCGAGTATCCATAACGGAAGCAAGGCTGATATCACACACCGATAAAAGATGAACCAATCGATTGCTTTGCTGAATCCAAAATTGTGTAGGCGTCCGAGCTACACGAAAAAAGGGCCACGTTTGCAACAAAAGCCAAGAAAGTACGTGCATTTGTGTACCGCGGTAGGCTGCAGGTAAACGCATTACCGATTCGTTCTTCACGCCATTCCAACAAAGTGCATGCCAGGTGGGCTTGTTCTTCTGCGGTAGCCATAGCCTGGGTAATGGAGAGCTAGTGCTATTCCGGAGTGCGGTGGTGTTACCCATGCGTAGGAGAGACACTTGCAGCGTTGCGCGATCGTAGATAGCTTTGTAGGGTTTCGCCTTCCACTACCAGCATGACAAATCGTTTTCTCTCCAATCGCATCTTGCGTTGACGGGAACTATGTACAGTTAACTCTGACGTTCAGAAAACGTGCTGTTTCTCTCCTAGCATTGTGATGGAATGGCGCTTCGCATTATTGTCATGGGCGTCCACGTTCTCCAGCCTATTGGAAATGTTTTTGATTGACAGTGGCTGCCAGGCCGAAGACATTAAACAAAGAGGCCGGACCGTATGTCCCTGCTGGGATGCAGGGTTCAGCACGGGAAGTGTGTTTGATGCCGTGTGACACCATTCCCTCGATTCATCTTGCACCATTGTAATGCCCAAAGCCCAGCACTTGTTGTGGGTAACAGTCGTTTGGTCCAACTGTGGGCCCGCCGTCTTGCAGCCTGTCAAGCCATGCAATGTGCGTCCTGGAACCCAGGCACTCCCACTTACACACCGGACGTCGTCTGCACTGCGCTTAGGCAAGATTTGGCGACGCAATTCGTTGGAGTGAATAGCTAGTGGGTCAAAGTGAAGGTGGATGTTGGTTCGTTAAAAGGAACCGATGATGGCACAAGTATATGTTACTGCACTTGTTGTGCATTGGTTGTCTCCTGGATGGTCACTCCCGAACTATCCTTTACGACACTCGAATTTGCCAGGAATTACTTTGCCCCAGTAGCACGTCGTTGCAACTTTACCCTTGCCACATTTCGGTAAAGGAAACCTATCCATAGATGGCTTTCTTCAGAATCAACTGACCTGGCATGTCAAAGTCATCGGCTAGCTTGTATTTCTGAGATAACCCAGCGGACTTATCTGTTGGACACCACGCGAGGTCCAGCTAATCGCCACGGGACCGTACTGTTTGTTGAGCGGAGCCACCTGAATATCACAGATAGGCCGATACGACGTGCACGTCTCTCTGCCTACTTCCAGACAGCGTTAATCGACTCAACTCACGAACGCAACAGGTACGTCGCAACGGCCATCAGTCCCTTTTTTCGCGATGCTGACGATAGCCAGGTCGATTACCAACGTGGGTATACATTCCAACACGTCCTCGCCGGTAACAGGTATAAGGCGATCATCTGGTCCTCGTGAGCATCTCGCAAACGCCTGAATACTAGTCTATTCTTCCAGTTACCGCCGCCACCAAACTTTTCTTTACCCAAAGTTAAGCTTTGTTTCACAGCAGCCCAGTCTTTCTGTCGACTTGATATTCGCACTCTTTTCTGCCAGGTACTGTTACCCGGTAGTGAGCCTCAACGTCTTTGCTTTTGACATTTCCCAGTGATCGCAAGCCTTCCGGGATGAACATACAAGACTTGCTGAACCCTTCTTGCGGTGATCGCCATGACCATCGCCGCTCAGAGTCTGCGACACCACCATCACGCCCGGTAGCGATATTACCAGCGCTCAGGCGACAAAAGATACCAAAGGATGCTCCAATATTTTCAGAAGGAAACAGAACCGTGGGAATAGTCAACTTCGCCCCTCATGAAGCGGGAAATGACGAGGAACTTCTTGCACAGCACTGTAGATTCCAGATCTACCCGTTGGGTGAGATATCCAGGAAGGGAGTTCGACATATCCCATACAACAGTGATAAGAAAGACTTCCTTGAGAAGACTGGACGCGACGCATTCGAAAGTAAGGTTAGCTTTTGAGATTAATAGTAAATACTGACTTGCTTATAGTGTTCCAATACACGTACAAGCTACCTGGTGAAGATAAGCCGTATGTCGTCGTCTGGGACTACAATGTCGGCCTCGTCCGTATGACGCCTTTCTTCAAGTCGTGCAAATACTCGAAGGTAAGTATTTGGTTCTACAACATTCGAGTAGGAGACTAAGTGTTGCAGACGATACCCGCAAAGACATTGAGAGAGAATCCCGGGCTCAAGGATATCAGCTACAGTATAACTGGGGGCGCTCTGGTGTGTCAAGGTCAGTCAAGCCAATTCCAGACTATCCAGACACTCTACTGACATTTTTAGGGTATTGGATACCGTACCAGGCTGCCAGAGCGATAGCTGCAACCTTCTGCTATGACATTCGATGGGCGCTTACCCCTGTCTTCGGCAACGACTTTCCTTCGATTTGTCTGACACCAGATGATCCCTCTTTCGCAAAGTTCGTCATCGACCCAGCCATCGTACGATACTGTACTGAGGAGACGACGAAATTCCGAGAACTTGGATCTGCGTATGAAGTCCATCGGCCGGTCGCCCCGACACAAGTGGAGGCACCGACGTCGCGCTCTGACCAGCCGCTCAGCACCAGCATTGTAAGGCAACGGCGCGCACGACCGATAGATATAGAGAGCGGATATGGGACCGATACAGAGCGAAACGACAGGTGTCTCTTTTCTCCTGAGGTATCTCCGCGCACTCGCTTCACGCCCATCAATCGGCCACGCTCGCCGTACTCTCCCCGCACAGCAGAGTCTTCGTTTGTGAGCTCACCCGTCAGCATTCGTGCGCCTCCAGGATTGCATACGCCAACGTCGACTCCATATGAACACTCTGGCGAGGTCTTTCGGGCAAAGCGGTCGCATTCCAAGGTGGCCTTTTGCGAGCATCCTGCCGACGAAGCTGTCATTCGCCCTCCAACAGCCGCCACAGTCGACAGTGCACACGGATGCGAGATGTGCGTTGGTGACGACAACCATAGCCACCTCGATATGGATGCGGCAGAGATGTTGCTTTCGCTGCGTACAGCGGACAGCGCAATGCCACCATCAAAGCGTACGCGTCGGGGTTCGTGATGTTCGAGACAGTGTATGCCAACCTCCTGTTTTGAGGACGGTGATGACTAAAGCACGGCGGTTGATGCCTTCCTTTTCCGTCTGCTCATGATGTTTGCTAGCCTTTCCAGCGTTTCTTGTCGGCACACTCGTTGAGTAACTGCATTTAGTTCAGTTTGTGCACTTCAGTATTGAGAGGGCGCACCATCAGCGCCTGGGTATGGGGGTATGGTCATATGTTATGTTTTCATGTTTATGCGGTCATATTCAGTGAGTGGAAAAGTGCATTTGCAATCCAACGTCGAATAGGTCAGACAGACATCATGCTCGAGAAGATAGATGGTGAGATGAGTAAGCAGACTCGGTCTCTAAGAACATCTCATTTGTAATCTCTGAAATGCCGTTGTATAACTAACCAAACCCTCATGGCATAAGCTCACTTCGATGCTGCCTGGTTCTTCTCCTTCATCTTTTCCAGTCTCTTGACGGTGGACGAGATGATGGAGTCCTCATCAAAAACATACGTCACGCTCTCTTGCTTTGTTACTGCTGCAGCCCACTTGGAAAAGTTGGGAAGCGCATCCAAGTCTGCTGCAATGGACTTGGGGAGGACACCGCGTCTTGAGAACGCATATATCCGGATAATGAAAGGCGCAGTCAGTGCCTACGAGGCTATTAGTAATGCTGCTACATGCCTGAGTGCTGACCGTACCTCTGCCAGTGTGAGTTTCTCACTCCCGCCAAAGAATGGCTTTGCGTCTTTCAGAAGAGGCTCCAATTCTTTGCTCACGGTTTCAATAAATTCCTGGCTCAGCTTTGCCTTTTCCTCTTCAGAATCCTGCGTTAAGATCTTGTACCAATGGCTGCCAGCCTTGGTACTCCAGGTATCGACAAAAAAATTGATTCTAGCACGGGTCAAGGCAGCTTCTGGAGATCCTGTGGCAGGGAAGAGATGCGAGGGGTAGGCATCAGCTAGGAATGTTGAGACAGTGGCTGACTCGGTGACGATCTCGCCATTGAACTTGATGGCAGGAACAAGACCCCGCTACATATGGGTCAACTACGCATCGACGCACAAAGCCCGGGCGTAGACTCACGGGGTTGATTTCCAGATACCAAGGCTCTCTAGGAGTATCCAAATCGATTATAACTTCCTCGTACGGCAAACCCAGTTCTTTCAGAACAATGTGCGCTCGGTGAGCATAAGGGCAGCGATGGTTTGTGTATAGCGTGATTTTGGGGGCATTGCCATTAACGTGCGCCATTGTAATGGAGTTATTAGGACAATGTGAACGAGGTTGCAGAGATTGGAGGGTAGCAGTGGGAAAAATAATATTCGAGAACACTTGTGAGACTTCACTTCGATAAATCTGCAGTATCTACTAAATAGCCGTGACCATTGACAAGATATGCCCGGAGCTTGCGCGGCTCGGTATACGGCTTATCAATCAGGCCATGTATGGATTGCATCAACATGCAGCTGGATTGTGCAGTGCGGGGCATGCTTGACACAAGTGGAGCGCCATCGGGTGCCGGCCCACAAGCTCTTTCGTGTATTACCCCGATATCCTTGTGCTTCAGCACTGATGTGACAATAAAAGTGCCCAATATTCCGCAGCTCATGCTTTGGCATGTCCAGTTTGAGCATGAGCGGTTAAAAAGGGTATCTAGAACCCCACAAATAGACTTGGTTGTGAGACACATTACCTCTGTCTGACAGAGGGGCGGCGCCCTTCGCAGCGCATCCGTCAAGATCTCTCGTTCCAGAGGAGAGGAGCTGATAGGTATCGCCACAAAGTATCAGGTAGACGCATGTCCTTGCCTGCCCAATAGTGCCCGTATGCAACCATGGCTCAGGATGATCTTCCATCTACAGCATTCGGCATAGTCGTTGCCATGCACTGGCTCAACAGATAACACCGTCACCTTCGACTTTCCACTCCATCGCATTGCTGTCCGTCTTCTTCTTCGCTCTACGCTTCTCGTTGCGCAACCGCCTCTTCTCTTCAGCATCCTTTTCTATCTGCTCCCTGTTCATCGCCAGCCTGGTGTCCAAATCCGTAACTTCAAGAACCTTTGCCTCGTCCTGTTTCCGCTTGAGATATCGTAGGCGGTCTCGAACTTCTTGGAGAGTTGCGCGGCGTACTTCGCCGGACTGGCCGGTAGCGATCAAATGTTGCTTGCTGTTGAGATGCTCGACGTACTGGATGTTGTCTCTAGAGAATTGTTAGCGAAATCAAGTCAGCGCTGTAAAAGAGAGACGCACTTGAATGTCAGGTCGCAGGCTCCGCAGTATGCACCAGCACCACGTCCCCTCTTGCCAACTGCAGCAGCAGCTGATGTGAGGGTTTGCTTTCCGATCATTTTGCTCCAATCTATACGTTCTGCTCTTGCTTCCGTCTGCTTCAGATCCTCAGGCGTTGACGCCCTCCGTCTATACGACTTGCCAGCCATCTTTGCTTCGTATCGCTCCTTTCCCTCCTCACGCTCTTTTGCCTCTCTCTCCTTAGCCTTTTTTTCCATCTCGTCGCGGTCCCATGTTTTCCTGAAATCCGTATCACCGCCCCCCGTCGTTCCGTATGCGCCTGCTTTGCTGCTCATGATGGGCAATCGTAGAGAGACACGCCCTTTGCTTTATTGGTGTTGGAAAATTGGGTGGACCACTAGGTTCCAGTCGAGCTCCAGTCGTATCTGAATGGCGCGTAGGTGATTTCACCGATCAAGACAAATCGAGCATTGGTATGTAGTTACACGCGCGTAGTTTTCGAGAGTCAAACTCGCGACTTTCTGGTCCGTGACGCACGGACTTCAAGTACTGAGCTTTGGGCAGGTACGCATCATCACCATTACCGCGTTTTATGATTGATAATACCTCTGTATAAGGAAAGGCAAAGTCCATGTACATTGATTGATAATTCAAGATATACCATCTTGTTCTAATTCTGAATATTTACTACAAGTCATCATGATCACGATTGAATAGAAGGAAAATCAGGAATAAAGTACTCCTCGCTATGCTCCGATTTCCTGTGAGTGTCTTAGCAGGCGACATAGATCTAGCCATAAGCCGATTTGATGCCACCATATCCTAGCGCAGCAGAATTTATGGACGCGCATGGCATTTCTGTCACATGCTTTCCATGATTGCTGGATGTTAAAAGTGTCTACATGAGACGATCGCAAGCGCGATTGTGTCAGGCCATGAGTAATTCCCGCAACCCTAGTACGGGTATGGACCAGCTCCACGAGGAAATCCTACGTGTTGGCCCGGTGCTGGCGGCGGTGGCGGTACTGGTACTGGAGGCGGTCCGCGAGCTACTCTACCGACTGCCATGTGTCCATGAGATACTGAGCTATCTCTGTCTCGTCGTTTTTTCTTCTTTTCTTTGATACCATAGCCGATGTCAGTGTAACCTGCAGCGGCAAAAGGCGGTTCAATAACCTCTCGAGAATGGTCATCTGGCAGCCTGAGGTCAACAAGGCTGTAGAAGTAATCCAAGACTTCCGGGTAGCGAAGAACCGATGCTCGCCAATCGGCGTCGATGCCACGCTTGAGCTCAGCATGGGCTTCTGCGATTTGTGTCTGAAGCGTCGCCACGTACATGGGGTGTATTGGCGGATGACCGGAATATCGCATGTAGACTTCGTAGTGTGGGAGCGAGGCAAGGTACGCTGAATGGGCTTGCTTGCGAGTTGACGTCAACCGCTCAAAGGCGTTCAAGATATGCTGACGCGCGTGGTTAATCACCCAGTCTCTACAGCTCAAGTCAGCATTGGTTTTGAGAAGATGATAGCACCCACAGTACCTTATTTCAGCCAGCCTCTCATCCATGGCACGCTGTTCGGCCTGCTTGACGGCAATTTGCAGGCGGTCCGACTCGCAGGAGCATTCGGGGTAGGGCGGCGCATTGCAGATGGCACAGTTGGGAGCTGCATCCATGTCATACGGAGGAAGTTGGTGAGCCAGCGTTGATCATTGTCGGTCCAGAGTGGGCCGAACACAATTCCAGGGTAGTTTTCGTGATTGATGGGGATGCACGGGATGAGGATTTAATCTGGAGTGAGGTCGGTTTTAAGACAGTCTGGAAGCGGACACGCGCTAGGGTAGTCAGGCACAGGCGGTGACGACGGACAAGTAACATGTTACATGACGATCTTTGTGGAGGCCATCGGCGTGATCTGGCTAGTTTCGTACGGCTTATGGAGTGACGGATGGATTGGGCAGACTTGGGATGCGTTATGAGTTGGCAGAATCGCTAGGATCGGCTCAACCAGTATTAGCTCCGGGGTGTGCCAAGACTAATTGCTTCTAGATAGTAGTGTAGTATAGCACCGATCGAAGGCCACGGGTATGGCGATGTTGAACTTGGCCGTCTAATGGTAGCGGAGAGCCGTGTCGGATGGAGGTGTGGAAGGTTGTAGTTGTTGATGCCCTCGATCAACCTACCCCGCCTTTGCCCTCGACCCTCGACCTTGTCGGACCCCACCACCGTGGTATTAATGTCCGACCGAGTAAGACGACAGGGATGTGGCCTTCTCATTCTCTTGTCCTACAGTACACAGACCCTTCTGTCTGCTGGTATGTGATGCTCCCAGACAACGGCCCAATGATGTCACGATCCATGGAAAAAACAATCCAGACTCTGGACGCACACGCACACGCACACGCAGACACACTCACCCACACACGTTGGCTCCAAGCAGTTGTGCAACGCACATGTGCTGTCGACACGGCCGTCCCCTAGCCTTGCGATGGTGTCGACCGATGTGAGTGGCATGTGACATGTGACCCTCGAGCTTTTCTTCACCTGTCCGATGCGCGGGTTGTTGTTCTTGGCCGAGCGCCCTATATCCCAAGGCCCATCTGCAAGCGTTTTCCTTTGGGCTCTCTTGTGGGGAGAGCACTACCGCTAGGTGTAGTACAAGTATCTAGTAGTACGTCCTCGGTAGTAGGCTTGAGCTACGTGACGTCTCTTGCACGTGACAGAGAGCCACGCACCGACACCGCTCTTTGTTCGCTGTTCCAACCACAGTCGCATTCGCCGCACTCGCCGCACTCGCTGCACTCGTCGCAAATCAGAAGCCGACGTCTCCGATGGACGGCGTCAACCTGACGCAACTGACCGTTCGATGTAAGGCTTGCAGGCGTGCTGGCCTGTCCCCTTATATACTGTCGCTATCACTGGCGGATGCGCATCACCATGCCGTCCACAACGCATATCCGGTAGTTTCCCCATGGTGAGTCTGCCTTGTCCCGAACCGCCTGTCGTCGTCTAGATCCATCTCCTCCAATCGCCGACCACCGCTGGCCTAGTGGACCAAGCCCACTGTGGTTTTGCAGCACACGAGGGCTGGAGTGGAGTTTGTCAGCTCACCTCGTTGAGGTTCAATAGCCCGCTATGCTTGGATACTCTGAGTCGTAATTTTGGATGGTCGCAACTTGTTTGGATCAGACAATCGTTCCATGATAGCCATGTGGTGAGAACAACACGCCCCAGAGAAGGCCCCTCATGCTAAGAACGGCTTTTATCGCATTGTCAAGAACCGTTTTGCTTTTAGAGCTAGGGCTTGCGCAGTGATGTAGCATGTAAAGCCAAGAGGGTGTCTGGTGCAGCTTGTACGCATGAGTCAGCAGTATTATCGTGGTGTTTTTTGGCTAATAATCCGGGTGATCCTGCGCGCCGCACAGACTGCGCCCTTCGAACTCGACATTCTACCGCATTAGGCTTAGTGCATGTAGAAAGAGTCTCCTCCCCCGTCTTCGGCATGGCCCCAGAATGAGTCCAAGCCGCGGTCCTACTTAGCATCCATCATCCCGCAAAACGACAACTCACGCCTTATTGTCGAATTCGTCCAGAGGGCGTGCATTTGTTCTTTGATTCATCGCAGGCCATTGGACAACGGCCAAGATAACCCACTGCTTGATTGCAAATCGAGGCCCGCCATCATGGCTACCCACGATGCAGCCTTTGATATGGCAGACTTTGTCGATTTCGGCGACACAAGCATACCCGGCGTATCACAAGGGACAGACCTCAATATAACGGAGCCAACATTAGACCAGAGGTGCGTGGTATACCCATTATTCCTTAGTAACTCGCCCCGGCTCGACATCCATGCAAATGCAAACTTGAACCCAAGGGGACCATCATTGATAATCAACTTGCTTTTTCTTTGGTTCTAATAGTAACCAGTCCCCTATTCGGAGAAGATGATTCCAGAGGGCTTGTGCAATCCGCCAATGCTCAAACTACCGACATCGACTTCAACACCGACTTTAGTACTTGGCTGCCAACATACCAAAAGTCCGTCCAGCCATGTGAATACTGCAGATCAATGTCCCTCGAGTGTTTCATATACAACGTCGACGGTACCAAGCAGCTAGGATGCTCCCCATGCAACGCTCTGTTTCGGCCATGCAGCTTCAGCAATCCGGAAAGGATGCCAGCAATGAAGCAAAGAACGGCACTCGACACGTTAGATGTCGTGGCAGAAAACGACACGCGATGCTTCGGTGGACTCACCGGAAGGAAGCAGATGCGATCGTTGGGTCACGTTGGTCCCATAACGGATGACAACAACGGAGAGCAGTGCTCCAAGACTGCTGCTGTGTCAGCACGCTTCCCAAGAGCTGCTGTCAGCATCCTGAAAAATTGGATGCTAATGCACATCGATCATCCCTATCCAACAGAAGAAGACAAGGAGATGTTGAAACAGCAAACTGGCTTGTCCATTGGCCAGATCTCCAACTGGATGGCCAATACGCGGCGAAGGCAGAAGGCACGACCAAAGCGAAGTGCATCGCCAAGCATCAGACCATCGACAAAGGTCATCAATATTCCCGCGGGTAAAACCTGGGAAAGCATGGGTACGTACACAGAATCTGAGTTTAGTCGATCACACAAGACTGTGGCGCCCAAGACTGACGGAAGATTCATTGTCTTTCGTGCGGACCAAGAGCGCACAAACTCAGATACTGGCACCTCATCTCAGATGCCAGCGTTACAGCAGCAGGAATGTCTCGGTTAACTCTCGACAGGTCCGTTCGAACGATGGAAGCACTCTCCTCCTGAAAACGAACCTGCACCTCTCAACGCTATTGCTCACGCTGTTGAGACCTTTGATCCGCCGCAGTCCACCAGCCAGAGCAGCAGCTACCGCAAAGATGCTTCTAATGACAGCACTGGGAGCTTCTCGGTGTTTAGGGCACCTTCCATCTCTTCGCTAGAGACTGGCCTCACCAAGATGTCCTCCGGTTCTCGGGGTTCTCGGGACTCTGCCTACTCGTACGGATCTCGACACTCGCTCGGCTCTTTGAATAGTCTCAAGTCAAAAGAAAGGCGGAGGCGCCGACGAATTCCCACTCGAGTGCCAAAGGCTAGTCCCGATGAAGGACAAAGAATGTTTCAATGCACATTCTGCACTGATACTTTCAAATCCAAGTACGACTGGTATGTAATTCTCTACCACAGCCGCTACAAATATTTGATTGCACAGAATGGACAGGATGGTACTGACGTTTTGAAGGTCTCGCCACGAGAAGAGCCTTCACTTGTCTCTTGAAAAGTGGCTATGCGCACCCCTTGGCGAGATCGTTGCCGATAAGGTTACCGGGAAATCCAAATGTGTCTATTGCGATGAGCTGGATCCTAGTAAAGAACACCTGGCGACACACAATCACACTGCTTGTTTCGAAAAGGGCCCCGAGTCTAGAACCTTTTATCGGAAAGACCATCTTCGACAACACCTGCGACTTATGCATGGTTGCAGGATGACTGCAAGCATGGACACTTGGAAGTCTGAAGCACAATACATCAAATCCCGTTGTGGGTTTTGTGGCATGAGCTTTGACAAATGGCAGGACCGTGTCGACCACCTTGCGAAGGAATTTCGTAACGGAGCCAGTATGAAGAATTGGAAGGGCTGCCGTGGTCTAGATCCCCATGTAGCCATACATGTGACCAACGCAATGCCGCCATATCTCATTGCTAATGAGAGAAAGTCACCCTTTCCATTCTCGGCAAGCAACTCTTCAAGTCTGCAGGTACGTACGACTGTATTGAACATGCGAGGCCACTCCGAGGTCGGAAAGCACAAATGGTATTCTGCAGAGTTCTCTGACTGACTACTGAATAGCAAATCAATCTGTCACTCGAGACGCGAGACTTGGAGTACCTACTACCCAATAACTATGACCTATCCATTGCGTACCAAGACGGCAAGGACGCTTCGTCGGTTGGGCCAATCATCTTGACCACACCCGACGACTTCCCAGCGTCGGGACAATCGGATCATAATCCTAACGCAACATGCTGGGAGATTCTGACTCTACGACTTGGACGCTTTGCGAGACGTCATATTAAGGAGCATGGTGCTGGGTCTGTAACTGATGAGATGCTGCAAGTTGAATCGCGCCGTATTCTTTACGGTGATGACGATCCCTGGAATCAAACGTCTGCAGACAATCCCGAGTGGCTCAATCTCTTCAAGAAAGCACATGGCATCGATTCCAAAGCACCGGTCAAAGGCATCACCACAGAGCACGACGTTTACGAGGATCTGGGCATCAACTCCAGCACCGCTGTTGACTCTAGCTTCAATGTCAACAACTTTACCTGCGCAAACCTGCCTGAGAACGATCCGCTGCGGGCACTTTCTTTCGAGTGTTCACTTTCAGGCTCCTTGGGACATATCAAAGGACATGTGCGACAGCTCTCATCCGGCCGCCAAACACCCTACAGCGTACCAGGGTTGAGCAGATCACCCACATCGCCCGCTTCCTTTGCACCGGCAACAACCACAGCAGCGGCCAACAAAGCCTCACTCATGGGCGTATATGCGCCCATTCCAGAGCTGGCATGCCCCCCCAACGGCGCCAAGGGACCTTGCTTTGGCGAGCACGGCGAACTAGGCTTCTCCACCACCAATCCTGGATCCCCTAAAAGACGGTACTGGATGGATGAAGCAGCCACGCAAATCTTGCCCTTGACTTCTCCTCTCGACCACCAACAGCAACCCGTATACGAGAATACGACTGCTCTTAGCAATCCTGGTGCCAGGACGACTACCACGGCTGATGACTTCCAATTCCCCTCGTGGGACCAGATCCCAGAGCACCTGCAGAACCCGACCAGCAGTTCTGAATACAATATTGCGGGCGTGAGCATGTCTACTGCCAAGAATGTCTTGACGATGCCATGGGATGATACTATGGATTTTGCCATGGATATGGATACGGATATGGACTTGAATTTGGTTTGAGGTGTTTTAATGGTGAGGCGAGATAAAAGTGTGGGATTTAGTACTTGTGTCTTAGTAAATGCAATGGAGGAGGGAAATATGTGGGTCGATATGATATCTCTTTGCTTTTTCCGGAATTGGTTAGGGTAATGCGATGGTGTTTAGTGGTATCTGTCTTTTTTTTTCGCTCCTTGATTAATGAGTCATGATATACCATCCTTATATACATTTTTTGTTTTACACACGCTCCCTCTCTGATATAATACATAGAAATATTGAATCGAGTCATTCCTTCACAAAATTGTTATCACTTCATGCCGCAGCGCCAGTGGCCAACAGTGTCAAAATTTTTGATTTCAACTAATTCATACCCTCATACCCCAGATGGGATTATACTTTTGATACAAATGACCAACACAATCAAATCACAGCTGATCCGCACTAACCTTTTGCACAATAATACCCGACGCTGCACCGCCACCATTGCAGATAACAGCCGCGCCATACTGCCCATCCTTCAACTGATGTAGCAGGGTAACCAATATCCTGCTTCCAGAGCTACCAAGGGCGTGACCAAGGGCAATAGCGCCACCGCGGGGATTGACATTTTCAGTACCGAGACCGAGGATCTTTGCATTTGCCTTGATGACGGCGGCAAAAGCCTCGTTGAATTCCCAGATGGCAATGTCAGACTTGGAGAGGCCGGATTGAGCGAGGAGCTTGTCGACGCAGGCGGCAGGAGCGACGGGGAAGTCAATGGGGTCTAGTTTGGAGTTGTTAGTAATATATTTTGTGAAGACGGGGAGAGACAAAAACGTACCCAGAGCAGCGTCAGCGTAGGTGACGATCTTGGCCAGTACACGGCTGTCCTTGCCGTACTTTTGTGCAATATCTTTGCTGCCGAGAACCAGGGCTGATGCGCCGTCACTCAGGGGCGAGCTGTTGGCCGCTGTGACGGATCCATTTGGTCCCTTTTCGAAAGCCGGCTTCAGCGTCGCGACCTTGTCAAGCTTGAGCTTGTTGTATTGCTCATCTTCTGAGACGACGGTCTCGCCCTTTCTTGTCTTGACGGTAACCGGTACAATCTCGTCCTTGAAGAGCCCGTCCTTGTACGCCTGTTGCGCGCGCTTGTATGTCTCAATAGCGTAATCATCCTGATCCTGCCTTGAGACCTCGTACTTCTTGGCCGTGTTCTCTGCGCAGTTGCCCATGTGGATTTGGTTGTAGACGTCCCATAGACCATCGGAGATGAGACCGTCCTCCAACTTCTGGTGTCCAAATGCTGGCTGCTGGCTTGCTCGGCTCAGGTAGTATGGGACTCTTGTCATGTTTTCCATTCCTCCCGCGACCTGAGCTTCCGCCTGTCCGAGCTCGATGGTAGATGCGGCAATGCTGACAGCCTTGAGGCCTGAGGCGCATACCTTGTTGATGGTGGTGGCTTCGATGTTTGTAGGAAGACCGGCGAAGATGGCTGCTTGTCGTGCGGGTGCTTGTCCAACGCCACCTCCAAGCACATTGCCCATGTACACGGCATCAATAGATGATACTGGGACCTTTGATTTCTCCAGGGCGGACTTGATGGCCGTGGCGCCTAATTGCGGTGCCGAAACCGTTGTAAAGTTGCCATTGAACTAAATAGATACTCAGCATACAGAATCAATTGGTGCTAATCTTGTACTGACCACTGCGGTTGGTGTCCTACTGGCACTCAGAATGTATGCATCTCGAATCTCCTTCCTTTGTGGCGCAGAGCTGCTGAACTGTCTTTGGATGCTAGCCAATCGTTGTTGCGGCCGCGAAGCCATCTTGAAGGAATTGCGAATGACCGCGGAAGACATGGTAACGGCGATTCCTGGGGGCGTTTGCAGGAGTTCAGAATGCGGAGAGAGGACTGTAACGAGTCGATGCGTGGCTACCACATGGCAGCAAGAGTCCGGCTGGTGTGACAAATGCGGGCGGGATGTGGAGGAATGACGCGCTACAGCAGCCAGACCGAGGTCCAGCAGTGTGCACGGCACCACCCGGCTTAAGCTGTTCTGCCGAACCAATTTTTCTTTCCATCATTTGACACCACTCTGGGGAAATGAAGGCTATTCAGCAAAAGTTGTCCAGAAATACAAGTGACATTGAATCATCTATCTAATAGTCATAATGTTTGAAAATCTCATAACTCAAGCCAGTGCACCCATGGGGTCCCAGAGCTCTAGCATCTTTGGCTGCTGCTCCAGCACCTTCCTGATCGACGAGCTAACTACACTCGGATCTACAACGGCCTGATATACAAATTCGTCCATCCAAGAATCGCTCATAACAAAGTATCCCTTGTCGCCCACACGGTCACTCCACGAGTTTTCTACCCTCCAGCGCACTGGCTTGCCGTCAACCACGTGCACGGCAGTCAACACCATGGCGTGCGTCATCTGGCTCTCGCCAGTCTGTAGACGCTCTGCCTTTGTCATACCGAGCCTGACATTGAAGCCGAGCTCATAGTCGAATAGCTGGGTGTCCATGATACCCTTGGCCGAGTCCGAGTATTTGCCCACGTCAGAGCCAAAGAATACAGGCATGCCGCGTTTCAGCATGGCAATGCAGGCTTCTTTGATCGTCTTCATGTCGACGTTGACGTAGGTTACTGGCCGGCCGTTCCAGACATTACCCAGGCGCTTGACACTGAGCAGGCGGTTGTAGGGATTCCGGGGGTCGTTGACCAAAGAAAAGAGCGTGTGCACATCGGTTCCAGACAATGCGCGCACTACCCTGTGATCGGAAAGTTCCTTGGCAAACTCAACTGGTCGGCTAACGACAGTGTTGAGTTTGCCATCCTTGTCATAGTACTCCCACGTGAAGGGCTTGGTGGCAGATGGTGGGGGACCGAGCATCAGTGTCAGGATGAGATGAATCTCACGGAGCATCTTTTCCTTTTCGCTAGCCAGGGTTGCTTTGACGGCTTCGGGAGACCAGTTGCTTGAGGCAATGGCACGCAGCCGGATTGCATCCTCGCGCAGCTTTGTGGTAATCAAGCGGTCCATGATGGAAGAGTTGGAGGCATTGAACGAGTCTGGGTAGATGGACTGGGGTACGAGACCGTACTTTTGTACGAGGTTTGCAACCATGTCCCATTGACCGCCATCGCCGACAGGGCTGGACATGAGGGCCTGTACTATGCGACTGTCAATGTCCTCGTTCTTGGTCTCGAGTATGCTCTCGAGGAAGTAGTTGGCCTTTTCAATCTTGTCCCAGTAGAAGAGATAAGCTTGTGAGAGCTGGAACTCGGAGAGCTTGTACCGCTTCATGATGGCGACGCGGAAGACATTGGTGGATGCAAAAAGCCAGCATCGTCCGGAGGAGGCTTGGTTGGTGATGGGTGAGCCCTCAAGGGGGATCTTGATGTTGAACTTGTGTGTATCTTCGATGGTGGCTGCGCGAGAGGAAAGGACGGCGTTGGCGGAGTTTGAGCTAAGGGCTGCCAGGGCGAGGCGGTTCTAGCAGAAGGAGGTCAGCCAATGCAGGGGACAAGAGGAAGGAGCAAGTATGAGTGTGTGTGTGCGTACCTTTGGGTCAGCCATGAGCTCCTTCTCCCATTCTTGAACGGACTTGATGGAGACATTTTGCTGGTACTTGACGACGGGTGTGTACTGGGGTGCTGGAGCACAGGGTCAGCATGGAGAGAGGGCATCGACCGGAGGAGGGACATGGGATCAAGAACATACGGGCCTCTCCGTCGCCTCCGACGACGACGACATACTCCTCCTTCTCCCTCAGGTACTGATCATACTTATCATGGTTCATGTTGAGCGCGTGCAGGCGTTCGAGGAGCTTGTCGTTGACTGCGGCTTCAGACTGCTTGGACTGGTCGGAACCCATAGTGGATACTCGCGGCGGACGGTGTGGGGTCTACTAAATATCTATCAGAGGACTACGGTGTCGGGAGGTGTTGCGTTAGTGTGGGAGAGGCGCTCCCGTCCGCGTCGCCGTGGCCGTGGTCGTGGCAAGCCATCACGGTGTCGGTTTCTTATCGGGCTTATCGGGGGGGCATCGCGTGCAAGGGGCGCGTGGCAGGTCCACCGTATCAGATGGTCTGAGTGGAACGCGCTGCCTTCCCTATTGGGCGTGGCCGCGTTGCGACATGGAGGTTGAGAGCACGTCGGCCGTCTGATCCTCGCCAGCACCACGACAGAGGGTGGTTGAGATGCAATCTCTCGCGCCCATTTGCACGCCTCCTGCGGCGGGCCAAGCACATGCAGGGCAGCACGAGTCACCGCTCAACAGACCACCACCACCACCACGACTACTGTGTACGCACTTCTTTTCCTCCCCGGCCCCCTGCCCCATGTCTGCCCTCTGCCCTCTGCCCTCTGCCCTCATCTACAAATCCCCGCCGATCGTGCTTGCCACCCCAGCGCCATCGGCACGAGACCCTGAGCTCGGCAACGGCCACCGCCCTAGTTTCACCTTGCCCGTCACTCCAACCGCCATTGCTTGACAGCCATCTTGACTCCTGTCACTGGCCTGCCATCTCCTCCGCACTACACCCACACACACACATACATACATTCAGATACACATATACAGACACCGCTCACCTCCCCGCCCCATGGACCATGGCCGCGCATCCCTCGCACCCAACATGCGCAGCTCGTAATAGAGGAGATGAAGATAAGCAGGGCCGAACGCGTGTTTCATCACCGCGCGCTGTGCCTTCCCCTGGATTCAGGCCTGCCAATTCAGCCGCGGCGTGAAATTTGGCGACACTGGACTTTTGCGCAGTCGGTCAGCCTTGGTGCCGTTATATGTCTTCTCTTCTGCCTCATTTGCAATTGACTGTGACCGCAACTAACACCCTCTTCAACCTCCCCATTCTGCATCCCCCGCCCTACGCACCATGGAGCAAGGACAAGGCCTCTGGAAGAAGCGCATTCTCGTGCCCTTCTGGATCGTGCGAATATGTCTCATGATATTCATCATCGCCATATTCGCCTATACCCTACGCACGCTCAAAGATCTCAAAGACTTCACTGAGCCAGGACCGGGGTACGCCTATCCAGCTGCTCATGCCCACTCTCGTAGACTAACAGCAAGCAGCACCGTCGTCCTCTTCATTCTCTTCATGGTCATTGTGCTGTTGATTGATGTTCTCGCCATCCTCCTCTTCCTTCGAGACAAGCTCAAGCCAGGCACCTTCCTTACCATGAACTGTTTCCAGACTGGCTTCTGGGCCGGAGTTCTGATTGTCGACTTTGTAGCAATTGGCCACGGCGCAAGCCCCGTCGGAATCGGCTTCAGCATCTTTGTCTTGTACGTCTGAGCTGGTATTGTAGCAATTCGCTGTGCTGACCTGTTGTAGCCTCACATTCCTCGGTCTCCTCATCTACTCAATCATCGGCCACCGTCGCGCAAAAGCCGCAGCCCAGCGAGGTCACTATGCGCCCGCCCACAACCCAGCTCTGCCTGCTACCGACTTGCACGGCACTCCCTACTTTGGCGCGCCCGATAACCATCAAAGCACCGCATACCATTCGCAGACATACCCACCCCCAGATGCGCACGATCAATATGCTGCTGCTCCTCCATACCAAGCCGGTGCTGCAGGCGACTATTACCAACAGCAGCCCATGAAGCCTGCTCACATTGTTTGAGAGGATCTTGTAAAGTCCACGCCCACCAAGGTGTTTTCGGCGAATCGGCGCAATTACATATAAATAGGGCGGTGTAGTCTATGCCGAGATGCCAGCAGCTTGTGCGAGGAGGTGACGCGAGCGAATCACGATGACTGAATCACAATACCTCTATGTACTGTCTGGCCATGTCGTGCGATTCTAGACTGGTGCGACGAGACGATTCCAGCGGGCGAGGGTGGCAGGGCAAACAAGCTCGTGGCTCGTGCGTGGAACGTCCTGGGCTTCTGAGACGCGCAGAACTTACTCGCGTTCTTTTTTCTTCCGCCTACGCCATGGAGTGGTATGATATGCATTTTTTGCGTGCTATGGGCTCGGGCTTGGCTATAAGGTACAAAGTTCAGGGGCCTTGGCTCCTTCTGCTTCGCCTCGAATTTTGTGGGGAGCGGCCCGTCAGATCCATGCGCAACCGGTGGGAGGTGATCAGATATGGCAGGAGTGAGGGATCAAGTCTCGCGGAGGACGTAATGTATAGTTGAAAAAAAAAGATTCCAATACCCGACGTGGTGGCACGAGTGAAGTCAAGCATGAATAAAGTGTCCATGTCAACACACGTGCAAGTCGCGAGCGGGCGTGGTTGCCGATTCAAGTGACTGGGGCCGAGACGCTACGACTAGTCCAGAGGCGACACTGCTTGGAAATGTTTCCAGCTCGGAGGTCAACACCCACTCACAGCACGAAAGCCGTCCTCTCCAGCATGTCCCAGCCTTGTTCATTTATACGGCGAGCAATCACATTGCTTCTCCCGGCACGTTGCCATGAACCTGTGCCTGTCCTGAGGCAGTGTTTCCAAACCGTGTTTACTTTTAGCACGCATGATGGTCTCGAGTCGTTAGTGGCTGATCATTGAATGCGACGTTATACCCCATGGACACAGAGTCATAGGGATGCCATATATCTCCAAGTAGACCTTGAGCTACGGCTGTTTGGCTCCAGCACGCTCTTTCGTCTTGCCACTCTCCCTACCTTCCTGGCCCGGTGACGCTCGCTCTGCTCCACTCATTCATTTCATCCACCAAGATGCGCTCGTTTTTCTTGCTCGCCGCCGCTACGGCGCCACTCGCCCAAGCAGTACGCATCGTCCAGTCCAACGACGACGGCTGGTCAGAAATCAACCTCCGCACCTTTTTCAATGTCTTGAACTCGGCGGGCCATCAGGTAGTGCTCTCCGCACCGGCGGAGAACCAATCTGGCACAGGTGTGTAGAGTAGCTGCCAATATATACAGAGCCAGCAACCCATGTACAGAATGTATACTGACCTTTCAAGGCTCGTCCGACAAAGCGCCGACAACTGTCGACAGCGACGGCTGCCTCCACGCCTCTTGCCCAGGCGGGAGCCCCCCAACTGGCGCAAACGCAACCGACGCTCGCCTGAATTACGTCAACTCGTTTCCCGTCACCTCCATCAAGCAGGGCATCGACGTTACCGCGCCTGCCCTGTGGAACGGGGCCAAGCCTGAGCTTGCCCTAACCGGACCGAATGTCGGTAGCAATGTTGCTGTCCAACTTCCCTTCTCTGGAACGGTTGGAGCCGCCGTTTACGCAGTCAAGACGGCCCAGATCCCAGCCATTGCCTTCTCTGGCAAGAGTGGCGAGCCTACTGCATGGAACGCCCCCACGCCTCTCTACAGCAAAGTCTACGCCGACCTCGCTCTCAACGTAACTAGCACCATCATCCAAAGCGGCAAGCCGTATCTGCCCGCAAACACGTTCCTGAACGTCAACTTTCCCGAAGTTTCCAACTCCCGATGCAGCGACCCCAGCCAGTTCAAGTTCATCTTTACTCGCGTCAACACTGGCGTCTTCAGCTCCCGCGATGCAGAGTGGTGCGGTAGCACGCGCCTGCCCTGGGAGGCTGATGTCATCCTGCTCAGGGGCAAGGACTGCTATGTTACCATTAGCCCTGGTGATGCAAACGACAAGTCGACTGTGAATGATGCCGCTGTCCAGACTCAGATTCTCAACAAGCTCAAGCCCATCTTGTCGTGCTTGCCATGAGAGAATCGCTCCTGGTGATGGGTTAATAGGAGGTGTACGCAACATTATGACATGTTACATTTTTGCATCACATTTTTCTCAATTTCGAAATACATTTTGATCGACGATGGAATACATACATGATGTGAGAATGCGTAGCTCCAAACACCAACCTTCATACTATTATTTTCAGATAAAAGGCATAATAAATACCAAAATCAAAGATAAAAATCGAAATTAACACCCTGCCGTCCCACTCATTCAAGAAAATCATCTGCACACTGAAATCAAGTCTCTGACTATTGTCCTTCTTTTTGTCGCCATTTGACCTCTTCTTTTTTCGTACATGACAAAGTCCTTGACCTGCTTGTCGTTCCTTTTAGCAATGCCGAGCTGGAGATCGTGGGACCCACAGGTTCACACCATACCACGTATACCGAGCTAGTGTCTTTCAGCCCCACTTCTGCAGCATTATGGTCTATCTCTTGTAGAAGGAAGCGAGATACAGTTCCTGCTAGTTCTATTGCTAATAAAGAGAAGCTATTAAGAATGCCCGATCGAATAATGTCAAAGTCTTAGGCATCCCATGAGTCTACTGTCGATTCGAGTCATCCCTCTAGCTTGCATGGCCCCCAATCACAAAACTACAAGTCGAGTACCACCCCACACCCAGCCGTACCAGCCACGTTCCCACTGTTTTCTCTCTAAATCGAGACGAAGGTTTTGCATTGGCAAGAACGAGTTCCACGAGGGGTGTCTAGACAGCGTGCACAGGCCAGCAACGTCGTTAATTTTTGGTGTCATCCAGATGAGTCGTACCTCATTATGACTACTCAGAATATAACTGATATATAGCACGAATGCAAGTGTTCTTGTCTTCTTTTATTGAGATTTTTACAGTGGACTGATTCTTTGCTAGAGCATCCATCAATATAAAATATATGACATTCTCGTCTTCATACCCGGCTTTCTCTGCCCTCGTGTGAAATTAGTACAGTACCATTCATTATCACCAAGCGCATTCTCCAGAGCAACCCCGGTATCATTTTACACAGCAAGCTCTTCCAAAAAAAAATTCACTTTGGAATTCAACGCCCCAATGGATCCCCAACCATCCGACGATGCATCTCAACCCCCCTCCCTCGCATCCCGAATGCGCTCCTATGAAGCATCCACCGACCACATCCTCCCCACCAACCAACCCATCATCCTGCGACTCGACGGCCACGGCTTCTCCCGCTTCACCTCGCGCTTCTCGCGCCCCTTCGACGAGCGCATCCACAACGCCATGATCAACACAAGCAGCGATCTCCTACATTTCTTCCCGCAAGCCACCCTCGCCTACACGCAATCCGACGAAATCACCCTCGTCTTCCCCTCTGGCGTGCAAACTTTCAACGAGCGAGTCCAGAAACTCTGCAGCCTAAGCGCGAGCTACTGTTCTGTGCGCTTTAATCGCCATCTCGAGCTTGCGCTGCAGGAAATGCCCAACCCGCCCGTCAAGGGCGACATGGAGCACGTGCTCGGCACAGCGCACTTCGACGCGAGGTTCTTCCCCGTCCCGTCGGTGCAGGAGGCACTGAATAATATTATCTGGCGCTGTCGCAATGATGCGGTGAGGAATGCGGTTTCCTCGTTTGCACGAACACTATATACGCCGAGTGAATTGCATGGCAAAAAGACAAATGAGCTTATTGACCTCATGTTGAAGGACAAGGGCGTCAAGTATGACGAGGCGGTTCCCAAGTGGGCGATTGAAGGCTGTTTGATTAAGCGTGAGCAGTATGAGCATCAGGGTGTAAATGCAAAAACGGGTCAGGTGGAGAAGACGTTTAGGACGAGACCCAGGGTTGAGCAGAGAGGCCTGACCATCTTTGACGAGGCGGGTCTCAAGTTAATCACACACAAGTATTGGTAGTTGTCGGTCAAGGTTGCAATGAATTGCAACAATCATGTGAATAAAATCAACATATCAAAAATTACACTTTATCTATACGTGGTATCTTCAGTCCACACTAAGGCACCTCTAAAAAAATAAAATAAAAAAAAGGTTGAAAATTCAGTGAACATGACCTACCTTTTCAGAGTAGCAAAAAAGAAAGGATGGGGCCTGACCGGGATTCGACTGTAACGCTGTTAGATAACGCGTTCGCTTTGCGAATCTGAATGGGTGAACTTACACCCGGGGCCTCCTGCAGAATAGGCTTGAAATCAGACGGATCTGATTCTTCCCAAAGCAGGAATCATACCACTAGACCATCAGGCCGGAGCTTTGTGACTCTTGGGATTGATGGAGAAAGTGAGTAACCAAAAATCTATAAATGGAATAAATTTGCCAATAAGGAGCGCCTGGAGAGTCATCTGGGGCGGTGGGGCGGGGTAAGGAAATGGATGGTAAGCGAGGGTGTGTGTGTGATAGTGCTTGTTACCCCGCCATGTGTCATCTGTTGTTGAATACGAGTGCGAGGTAGGATTGCCATCTAAATGGTGTTTTCGACCAACAACTATCCAAATCAACCGACTCGCTTACCTATCAATCACTTGTTGGACAAAGAATATTGGAATTAGGAATAAAATAATTGAAATGCATGTCTCCCATAAAAACTCCAACCTCATGCTTCCCATCGCGTAACCATGCATTCGTCAGAGCAAACAAAGAAGCAACGCTGCGTTTCCCCATCTAATCTCCACTCCGCGTACAGGCTCAGGTCTACGTCAAGTCCAAAACTTCTACCGCGCTTTCTCTCCACTTGCGTCTATCCTTCCCTTTGAGCAAGGACCCCGGTGTCTGACCCGTCGGCTTCTCTGGACTGTCAATGTCGACGTAGTCCCAGGCGCCTACGACGCTTTTTCTGAGAATAATGGCCCGTTTCTTCTTATTCTGAGCTTTCCATGCTGCGGGGGGTGATACGGAATTTTCTTCGCTTGGTGACCGTGATGAACGCGTTGGAGGTGATACCGGTGTTACAGTTGTTGGTTGTGGAACCGGATCACACCCCCCCGCGGGTGACAACTGTTCTGTCAGATCAAGCACATCCGCTTGTGGCGATGTCGACCGTGATTTTGCTGCAGCAGGACGAGGGGACGTGAGGTCTAAAGTGTCGACACTGGAACGCGATGATGTCGTTTTGCTGAGACGTGGCGAAGTACTGCGAGGTGGGTTTGAGCGAAAAACATCCTTAATGCTTTTCTTCTTGCCCAATATTGAGACTGATGAGGTCGAGCTCGCAGACATATTTGATGATATTGACGTCAATGGCGGCCGTGTGGTCGATGATACCATAGGATTCTGCTCACTAGTAGCCTCCTTTTGAGAGCGTCGTGTTGCTTTTGGGCGCTTTGGTGAGGAGAGCGTCAAGTCCAGTGATTCCACATCTTCAGATGGTTCGGCGAATTGTGGTGGCGCAGGGACTAGTGCTGCACCAGATAAAAGAGTTGTGCCCTGCTGTTTGGTTGGTGTCGCTGATGCTCGCCATGCATCTAAGGTAGTCTGTTTTGGCACAGACGAGTCCCGGGACGTTCTGGTTGCAGCCACTTCTTTCAATGTTCTTGTCTTCGCCTTCTTTGCTGGTAGCTGCAAAGGTGAAGGATGCGCTGGAGACTCGGCTAAATCCAATGTTTCTATCGTCCTCAAAAGTGGAGGTGTGGAAGGCCGATCCAAGATGTCGCTGGTGTCGGCAGGAAGCGTTTTTGAACGCTGAATTGGGGCTCGCCTTCTTCGTTTACTTACACTTGGAGGCAAATCTTCCAGAACTGGGGAGAGCGACTTTCCAGGGTCCGGTTGTGATCGTGGTGTTAGGGTCCGTGGCTTCAATGGCGATGAGGATGATAAGTCAATTGTTTCATACTCTGCCTTTCCAGTGGTCTGCGATGATGGCGCTGGAAGCTCGCCAGCCTTGTCTTGGGCTTTTGCAAGTGCTCGTGAAGCTCTCACTCCAGGTTTTGTGACCTTTGCAAACGATTCTATTCGAACTTGGGGTTGGTCTTTAGTCGTCTTCGTCCGCCTTGTGGTTGTCTTGGCTTTCTGTGCGGCAGTGTCAGTGTCATGTACCGATGCTGCTCGTCTAGGCTTCTGCTTTGCCTGTCGTCCAGCCTCCCAATCTTGAACTTTGAGTGGCACACCGACTTTGACAAATGTTTCCATAACCCATATACGTGCCGGTTTTTCAGGGTCAAATTTGGTCGGCCCACGTTTCCTAGGACCCTCTTCCTCCATGTCCAAGGGCATGTCTTCGTCCAGATCCACATCTCCGATATCCTGTTGGGAACTAGACGGCGGGGCGTCTACATCATCATCTGGATCCTCTTGGCTAAGATCAATCTTTACCAACTCGACAGGCGTGAAGCTTACGCGAAGCTCGGTACAATGGTCAGTGACGGTATGTTGTCTTTTGCCGTGAAGACCTTTAATGAGCGTTGATTCGTCTTCTTGTATGGCTCGCAGGTTGTCAGTAGGCAGGCGATTAATCTGTTCAGCACGGATCCGCAGTTGGCGTACAACAAGAGATGGTGCGAGACTGCGAATGAAGTGCTTTGCACCCTCGAGTTTGGCCCAGTCAAAAGCATCTTGTGTAAATTCGCGCAGACCCGGAAAGTCGAGGTCCCGATCCCAGTTGATGGACCGACGCAACTTATCTAGTCCTGCTTGGTTCGAGATCGCCGGATGTGTGTAGTATCCGAGAATATCGAGTCGGGGGAAATCGTCCGGGATCTTGAGTGCGCCGTGTTTGCGTTTGAAGAACTTGCTTTCGTTTGTCTTCAACTCATGTTGCAGCCGCTCCTTCCATTGAGCTATGGCTCTAGAGTCGTTTCGTGGGATCTTGCACAGGTCGGCACCAAAACCTGCCTTGGCTGCTTCACATGCAGTCTTAGGGCCGCATCCAGGTATTCCTTCTGGCACATAGTCTCCTCCACTCATTAGCGCGACCAAGATCATGCCCTCGCGATCCAGTCCTGATGGCCCATTTTTGGTTTCGACAGCGTCGTACACGTTGACGTGGGTTGGTGTCTTTCCTGATTTCTCCGGAGACCAATTTCGGAGGGTGACGCCGCTCCCAAACATGAGCGTGTCCACATCTTCACTCAAAACCGCGTCGACAATTCCTTCCCTTTGCAGCAGTGCACACTCTGCTTCGGCCTCGCCTGGTGCAAGATGGATGGGATATCCAAACTGCTTCAAGAGCTGTTTTGCAAGGAACTCGGGGATGGAGGCGACAGTCGGACCGGTGCGCTTGTTGCGTTTGAATGGCGGTTTATTGGGTCCATCGAAGACAAAGACAGGGTGGATGGCAAGAGAAATCAAGCGCAGGAGGCGGTAGTAGAATGTTCGCAACGCAGGATTCGTGCCGCCTAGCTGCAGTCAGCATCGTATGTTATGCGCATACCCTGATAAGTCTTGCCTTTGCTAGCTTGGATCTGAAAAAGCCATATCGATGTATCAATAGCGATGCGCAGCGGGCGCCCAGTCTCTTCGAATTTTTCGACGGCGAGCTTGGAGAGCGCTATGCGTGTGCCAGGGCCGATTTCCTTGTAGATCCTGTGTGCGTTAGTACTAGAATCCATATAATAACATGCGCGACTCACCCATGTATACCCATTGTGACTCCATGCTCTGTCCTTTGATCTCCAAGCTGGCTGCCTTATTCGTGATGTTGCGCCCAGCGCGTAGATTGGTGTCGTGATTAGATTGTTGCCACGACAACAACGCGTCACCCGTCCCGCATGCCCACGGATGCACGTTTATTCCCCACCATGCCGTCCCCATCGCACTAACACTTTCCACCCACCATCCTCACAGAGACCCTTGACCATGGCACCCCGCGGTCGCAGCATAACGGCGAGCCCGGGTGCCTACTCGGATCGCAGCAATGACTCAAGCCCGGATCCGCTAGCCATTTCTTTCGACGAAAACACCACCTCATCACACCGCAAACCCAGCCCCAGGAAACCCATCATGATCAGCTCGCCAAGGAAACAAGTCCGGCGGCTGGAGAAGTCAGAGGTCGTCTTCTCGTCGCCGTCTAAGTCCATGATCATGAGCACACCGCGAGGCAACGGCGCAAGCCCCTGGCGCATCAAGGTCACCGTCCAGGCCGAACCGGAAGACGGAGAAAATGCCGAATCGCCATCAGTAAAAAGGGTAACAAGAACAAAGACGACGACTGTACCACTAAAAGACCCCGATGCGTCGTCTCCTGTCAAGCGCCCCCGCGGCCGACCCAGGAAGTCTGAGACTGGATTGACGCCCAAGCCCAAACGAAAGGGGACACCGATCAAGAGGCCTGCAGAATTCAGCTCTCCGAGCAAAATTGTTCGAGGCGATAATTCCAGCGCAGCCGATGTTGACACCGATGTGCCGCCTAGGAAGCGAAGGGGTCGTCCGAGGAAGAGCGGACAGTCGCCGACCGAGTATGACGAGACCAGCGTTGCAGAAGAGGCCGAGGCTATCCTACAAGCCACATTCGAAGAGACACCTCTGCCGAGTACGGAGGCCGGGTCAGACAACTCGAAAAAGAATGCGCGATTTGTAGCTCCCGATGATCAAACCATGGATGATGCGTTGCGAACATCGCCTACACGATCGGAGCCGTCTCCCAGCCTAGGCACACCCGCTCACACCAATTCGAGGGACAATGTACGCGCCCGCAGAGGTACACCACATGCAAACAGGATGGCCGTTATTGAATCCGATGAAGAAGAAAGTGGCAGTGATGTCTTGACGCCCGCCAGTGGAGATGAAGACGATAACGATCCTCCTGAAAACCAACCCCTGAGTGGAACAGAAGATGTCCAAGGGAACGCATTTACGCCAAGCGAGACCTCAGCACGATCGAGCGATTCAGCCGATTCCACTAGTGATGATGGTGCACCCGAATATCCTCAAGACTATGAAGACGACGATGAGGAAACGCAGGGTCA